CCCCAAAACCCCAAAACCCCAAAACCCCTCAGAAATGAAATATGATTGAAGATGCTAATAATGGTGTTTATTGGTTTTCTCATCCAGGCCTCCGGTTCCAAAAATTTCCTTGGTTATTTCGAGGCCTAGAACCTTCCGAATGATTCGAGTCAACCTCTCTAGAGTTAGGATTCCTCTGAGAATCTGAGTATACCTCTAATACAGCATTTTCACAAGTGCTTCTTGTATTATTGTTAGCCTCCTGGCTTATATTTTGAGTAGGCGTTCTAAAAATATTTCTGATACCATTTATTTGTTGCTGACATACAGATTCAGACCACTCGATTCTAAAGATAATGAACAGATTTCCAAAAGTTTGTAGCCTTCCAGAATTTGCTTTCTTCTTAGGCATCCCGTATCCAATAAGTGTCATAACTTTGCCATCTCTTATAGTTTTTTCTTCTGGACTTGTAACTTCTACTGTTCTCCCGTCCAAATGAGTGAATGTAAACTTTACTCCGCTCATTTTTGAAATCTGAGTATTTTAAAACAGAAGTCTAGAATCATCTGCTAATATAAAATATCTAGAATAATCTTAATTTATAGCTTAAGCAATCTATTCTTATCTTGACATACTCTCAATTCTGTTTCTATTTATAATCAAGGAAGTTAAATATAGGTCTTAAGAGAATGATTCTTAAAAATTAACTCCGAGCAGGACTAGTTAATTCTAATTGATAGAATTATCCTCTAAAATCAACCTCCTAAAAATCCACACAATGCATCTACCAAAGATATATGTCTTTGACATCTTCAAGTCATTTCCAGTCCTCTTAAACACAGGATGTACTTCATCCAGTTGGATGGAAAACTCGACGTCCCCTTTGGCCTGGTTTGGCTTCTGGTCTCCTTCATTTTCCAAGACAATGTAATCATAATCAGAAACTCCTCTCTGCACAGTATTGTCATCCATGGATCTATGAGGCTGTTTGCTGGATTTTAGCTAACAGTGGAAAATATTACTAAAGACCTTTCTATAACAGGCATAACTTGCTTCTCTTCCTTGTTTAATTTTATCTTCCATCCAAAAGCCAAAGAAATGGACATTTTCTCGACTTGAGAAGCTGAAAGTAACCATGATGACAAAGAAAAGAAAGTTAAGACAGTTACAGAAAGGTCATAGTAATAGAATGTGAGAATTCCATGGAAGAGGAAAAGAAGCAAAAGACTTTTAAGATTTATTGATCACAATAACCTGGACGATCTTAGTCTCATCAACTTGTGAGTTGATATATCTGCCTCCTAAGCAACCTTCACAGATGATAACCCTTTGTGTGAACTCTCCTGGGCTGGTCTCTGTTGATCATTTCTGAGTTCCTTTGCCTCCACATCTTTGGCACTTCTGTGCATTATAAGCATCAAAGCTTTCGGGGATAACTCTTCTTTTGATCCTGAAGGATTTAGTGATTCCCTTGTAAGCATCCTCAAGAGTAATTGGTAAATCTTTCCTGATAGGCCTAGTCTTCTGCTTAGGTCTATCAGAATCATGTTGGCTACTATATCTTGCAGTAGGGTCATAGTCCCTTGAGCCAGGTGGAGGAGACATAAAATTTGACAATCCTCCGAAGGGAAAGTAAGGAAAAGCACCCATATCTCAAAACGGAGGGATCCCAGACTGAAAATTAGGCTGATTAGGCCTTGAGCTCGGCCTTGGACTAGTAGACAAAGCCAGAGTTTCACCGTATCTATCATATAGGTTTCTTTTTTCAGGATCTTTTAGAACATTATAAGCCTGTTTGATTAGTTGGAAAAAGTCTATATCTCCTCCTAATTCAGGCTGGTTTTGCCTGATAAGCCTCCTGTAGCTATCCCTAATCTGTCACTGAGTAGCAGTCTTGGATATCTGAAGTGTGTTATAGTATCTAGTAGTGTCAATTGAAGATTCCATACAAAATTTTTTATTCATTATTTCAGTTCCTTCGTTATTTATAGGGGTTTTGGGGTTTTGGGGTTTTGGGGTTTTGGGG